GCAAGGATTCTGAAGCTCTGTCTAACATACTTGGATATGTTGTAAGGAGAGACTGGTCCTAGGAGAGGGACATCATGCTGGGAGGGAGGAGGGGCAGCGCAGGAGGGGAAGGCCCCCTATGAGGTGGATTAATTCAGTGGCTGGGGTAATCGGGATGGGAGTGTCAGAGACAGTGCGATTGGCACACGACAGAGTAGAGTTTAGGGCTGTTATACATAGGGTCGCTATGAGTCGCAAGCGACTGGATGGCACATAACAACAACAACAACATACTAGATTGTTTATAAAATTGGAATACATTTTTTTTCAGACAAGATTCTTCCAATTTCCCTCACCCCACCCCCCACTCATCAAATTGTACAACCCCATGGTTAATCCCTCCAAACCTCCGACCCCGCACATCCTCATCTCTCTTCTTTCACCCTTCCCCTCCTTCTATAATGGTTCTATACAGTATTTGTCCTTGTGGGACTGAGTTATACTCATTCTCCTATAACGGTTTTATACAATATTTGTCCTTGTGGGACTGAGTTAGTTCACTCAGCATAATGTTCTACAGTCCCTCCCAAGTTATGTAATAATTAACAAAATCATTGCTCCTGCATGCTGTGTACTATTCTGTTGTATGAATATACCATAATTTCTCAATCCATTCATTTGTGGTTGGACATTTGGGCTGTTTTCCATGTTCTTGCGATAGTGAATAACGCTGCTGTGAACATTGGTGAACAAATCTCCGTTTGTGCCTCGGATCTCATTTTCTCAGGGTATATTCCAAGCAGTGGGTTATATGGAATTTCTGTGTTCAGCTTTTTGAGAATGCGCCAAACTGCCTTCCAGAGTGGTTGTACCATTTTACAATCCCACCAACAATGTATAAGCGTTCCTGTCTCACCATATGGTATCTCATTGTGGTTTTGATTTGCATCTCTCTTATTGCCAGTCATTTGGAGCATTTCTTCATATGTCTGTTGGCCATTCTGATATCTTCCTCTGTGAAAATTCTTTCCATGTCTTTTGCCCATTTTGTAATTGGGTTATCAGTATTTTTCATGTGGAATCCCAGGAATATTTTGTGAACTTTTTATTATGAGACTCTTGTCTGAGATGGTAATAACAAATGTGTGCTCCCAGTCTATAGGTTTTCTTTTCACCCTGTTGGAGAAAGTTGTTAATGCACACAAGGATTTAATCTTTAAAAGGTCCCATTCATCAATTTTATCCTCTTTAGATTGTGCTTTTCTGACTATATTTGGCAGTCTCTTTCTACCACAGACTAGGCCCTCTAAGCCTGATCCCAGTTTGTCTCCTAAGAACTTTATGGTTTGGGGTTTTTCTCTCAGGTCTCTGATCCTCCTTGAGTTGATTTTTGTGTATAGTGTGAGATGTGGATCCTGTTTCAGCTTTCTGCAGGTGGAAGTCCAGTTTTGCCAGCACTGCCCCTCCACTTGTCCAACCATGATGTCCTTCTCTAAGGACTCGTCCTTTCTGGCCACATGCCCAAAGTGTGTGATACAGAGCCTCAAATCCTTGCGTCCAGGGAGCAGCATGTACTCCTTAAAATATCAATTCACTAATGGCTCATTTAATTGATTACTTCAGACATTCCATAGACTTTTTTTTAGCAAGGTACTTAGTTATTAATTAGCCATGAGTTTGAGGAAACTTTTTAATCATCATGTCCTCCAGTTATTTTAAGTAAGACAGAATCTTATTCTGAGAAAAACAAAGTTATTAACACGTGGTGATTAGTAAATGTTGATACCTAATGAAGATAACTGTTTACTTATTACTGATAAGAGTTGCATTCTAATTTCATTTTCCAGTTGGAATTTTAGCAAAACAAATCAAACACTAAAGTTACTACATATTTTTTGGTAATTTTTTCTCTGTTGTTCTCTCTCATCAAGTTTTTTAATTTTGCTTTGTGTTTCTGTGTTATGTATGTTTTAATTCCTCCTCAGAATTTACAAGAATTTGTTTGGCGTGGAAGACAGATACTTGGCTTTGGTTAAGAATCTTCCTTACAGATATGATCATCTATCAGGTAAAATAATATGTATCTCAATCTCAGTAGCAGTATGATTACAGTTATAAACTTACTTCAATATTCAAGCTCACTCTGTGTTCACTTACAGTAGGAGGGGCCTCGTGTATGACTGTATTCATATGTATATGAATACGAACACATAAACTGTACGTCCACTCCGAGGACCAGCCCATGCTTCTTTAGAAAGATTGTCAGTAACTGAAGGGTTATGGTGCCTGACCATCTCAAAATGACTTCAGCATGGCAAGACTGCATCTTTTATGTTAACATTTGTTGTGTCCAGTCACACTGCTCTGTAAGATTTTTCATTTTCTAATAAAGGATTAGTACTTCTTACTCCTCCCTTCTGCTCTGATGCATTTCTTCTGCCTTGCCACAGTCTACCTGAAATTACACATGGAATGCAGAGGATGAGTAATTCATTGAGAGAGTTGCTACTCCTGATTTTGGAATGGACAGGTTGCTGCTTGCACCCTTCATAGAACAGAAGTTGTATTAGTAATAAAATATTTATTTTAAAGATGGTGTATCCAAATACATTTAATCAAAAGGCTTGTAAGTAAGGTTGTGGGGATTTGTTTTGTTTTGTTTTTTCAGTCGGAAGAATTAAGGCTATACTTATAAAATGGCATTTAGAACTCCTGTCTAATTTGTTTAATTCTGTTCCTAACTCTTCTTTAAACTCCTCAGTTGATCAGACAACATTAACTTTATGTACCTGTTTACTGCTTTCTTGGTAAACTCTGGCTGTTTTCCCCCCTCTTTGCTATTTTGTCTTTCTAAGGGTCAGTATAAAAAGGCAATAGCCAGCTTGCATCACCTAGCAGCTCTTCAAGGATCCCTCCCTCAGCCACAGCTCACTGGGCAGGGGACCCTGGAACATCAGAGAGCACTCATCCAGCTAGCAACCTGCCACTTTGCTCTCGGGGAGTACAGAGTAAGTACTGTGGGCAGCACATACCAACAGCAGGTGCATTTGGCTACTCTGCGGGCTTTCTTTTCCTAAAATGGCTTTTAATGCAGCCATGTTTACTTGAAATTTGATATTAATTAGATTCACTAATCTGCTGCTTTAATGATCATCTCATCTAATGACAGTCATGACGATTTTATTTTACTTTCTTTTTTTGCCCTCTGGCTTTCTTGAAAATAGGCTTCAATACTTGAATGCAGGTTTCCTGGCTTATTTTACTTTCTTGCCTGTGATTCCCTTAAAATGAAATCAGTTTTCCTGTATTTAGAAAGAAGAGACCATAACTAAATAGGGAATAGAGGAAGATTAACACTTAGCTTACCCAAACCTCGGATTCTCCTTTGATTAGTGATAAAGCTACCCCATGAGGTGATACAGAGGCAGATTCTATCCCAGTTTGTTTCCTCCACTGGATTGTGGGCCCCTCCTACCCTTTAAGTGAGGACTGTGATGCCGGTCTGACTCCCTCACAGCATCTGACAAGTTAACTGCACAAAGCAGAAGGCTGGTGGTGCAGTGTATGAATTGCTGAACTCCTAACTGAAAGGTTGGAGGTTCATATCTACCAGCCACTCCATGGTAGAAAGATATGACAAACTGCTTCCGTAAAGATAGATATTGGCACATGACTCTTAATACCTTCCATCCCTGGCCCAACCATTTATTAGCTGTGTGACCTTAGACAAACTAACTTGCTTGAACTATCAGCCCCCAAAGTTAAATTCTTAACTGCTAAGCTGCTCTCTAACCTAGGGCTTCACAACACTTTGTCTACTTTTGGATTCCAGATGGGAGCCACTTCAGCCCTTAGGATGTCGGTCATGGCATAGGAAAGCTAGAGCTCCCAGTGCTGGTTACTGTTAAAACTCTCAATGGCCACTTTTCTTTACTGTGGGGTCCCATGCAGTCAATATTTTCTGGGTATGCCAGAACATAGTTGGAAAACAAACTTTTAGATCCAGCTTTCTTATTTGTAAAATGGAGATGGTTGTATGGCATCCAAACTTAATCCACATAAACTGCATCAGCCCACTTTCATATCTCTGGTTTCTAAACCAAACTCATTTTCTTCAAATAAAGCACCTAATAGCAGTGTGTAACCTTCTCCACATCTTCCTCTTGAGCTTTACAAGCCCTCTCTCCTCCTTTCCACATTTCCACTTCCTCTCATCTTTAAGGCATTGGTCAGGATAACTTTCTTGCCTAAAGCTATAGCCTGTTTATATTTTTATTTTACTTAAAATTATGGTCTGTATCATACAGTTTCATTCTTTTTTTGTTCACTTTTACTTCATTGAGTTAGTAAATGTCTTTAAGGTAGGACCATGCTTCTTTGCACTATCTATACTGTTAAATGTGTTGATAAGAGAAATTTAGTCCTAGCCTACTTCATTCATCAGTACTTCTTTTGGTCTTTTAACAACAGTAACAAAATCCAGGTTATTATTAATGCCTCATGGAACTGTTGTTGTGTGACAGCGACTCAGAACCAACTCAGAACTGACTTTCCATCGGGTTTTCGGAGGCTGTCAGTCACATAGAAGGGTGCCCATCTTTCTTCTGTGGAGCATGTGGGGATTTGAACCATTTGCCTTTAAATAGACAGCACAGCTCTTTATCACTAAGCCACTAGCGTCCCTACAGATTTAGTTTTACTGTTACTTTTTTGTTCAATCTTGCAGTCTTGAGCAAATGGTAATGATGATTCAGTGGGTTTTATAGACATGAGACAGAGCTGTAGACTCTCCTATACAGATGTGTTACATAGTATTTATGTTGCATTTCTAGTTAATACTGTATTATGCTTAGTTCTATTCTGTTCCAGAAGATCTAAAGGTTAGTTCCATTTTGTTCTTCTTTAGATGATGTGTGAAAAAGTCCTTGATCTGATGTGCTATATGGTACTTCCCATTCAAGATGGAAGCAGATCACAGGAAGAACCATCCAAAGTAAAGCCTAAATTTAGAAAAGGTAGTATGTCAAGCTTTATTTTTTATTTTGTACGTTTTTTTGAGGATACAAAGCTAGAACGTAATTTATGATTCCAGATAAGATAGTACTGTTGTGATCTGTAGGGCTTGATAAATTGTGTAAGATGCTATCCTTTGCCAAGTTTTTTCTTGACTCTGATTTTATAAGCAGCTATACATCTGTGTTTCTTCTAAAGTTCTTTTCATTTTTTGCATTTTTTATTCCTTCAAAAATTATCAGTGAACTTTTTCTCTTTTTACCAAATCTAAGAAAATGTCTAGGTTATTAAATAAACATTATCTTAGTGTATTTCCCTCTTGGACTATTCTAAGCTTCACCTCAGACTGCATGTTGCTTTTGAAAAGCTATATAAATGTCTAGTTTGAAATTTTAATATAAGAAAGAAGAAAAGCTCACAATTTTTAAGTTTTTACCTTAAACATTGAAAAATGCACAAGAGGATAGAAGATGGTAAATTGGTAAAATAAAACACAAAATAGAGAAAATTGCTAAAACTCAAAGTTGGTTCTTTGAAAAAAAGTAGTATATTTAAAACTTGATCAAGAAGAGAGTAAACAAATAGGAAGGATAAATGTTATTTCATGAGCCTTTTGTTTTTGACGTAAACTTGTATAAATGTGTTTACAAGGTCCCCATGTAAATATAAATGTTTTTTATGCTACCTCTTGCCCTCCTTGACATCACATTTCCCCTGTGCAACAGATCTTTTGATTTCTTGACTGCTGCCGTCATGCATGTTGTTATGAATCTTGTTGAGGACCTCACCAAAGTTCTCAGAGCAAAGATAGTGCCTAAAAGACCACCAGGTGCCTGATCCAAGCTATCGTTTTTTCACTTGGTTCTTATGCATCTGAAAGTTGACAATGAATAAAGAAGACTGAAAAATTGATGCCTTTTAATTGTGATGTTGGTGAAGAATATTTCTCATGCACTGCCAAGAGAAAAAAATAAATCCAGTTTGAAGGGCATGCAACCAAAATGCTCCTCAGAGGCAAAATAGTGAAAGTTTATCTTACTTTCTTTGGGCATATTCTCAAGAAGAACCAGTCATTGGAAAGAGATATAGTGCTTGGGAAGGCAGAGGGTCAAAGAAAGAGGAACACCCTCAACATGATGAATTGACACAGTGCCTACCTACCTCAGTGGACTTGGTGACCACCTCAGTGGGCTTGGTGACC